CTACTACCTAATAGCAAGAGACCGGTGATATATTTGGGTAAACTACGTTTCAGTCAAGTATTATGAAAAAGAGTTCAGAAAATACACAAATATTTAACAACGAAAAGAGTCTTCAAGGATGTCATCAACAATCAGATAATCTAAAATTATAATTATTTTGTTCATTTCATTTGACCCTCCAAATTCTAATGCCCTTCGCGTTTAGCGTTGTTTGTTTACACTCGATGATGTGATACTCTTCAAAAGAGAGATGACAAGTTACAGTGAGCAAGAAGCACAATAGATTTTATGATCTAAGAACAGTAAGCAGAATTCATTGCAAGGATGGAACCCCTCATGGAATGGTTATCTAACCTTTTGAGGTGAGTTTATAATATGTGTATTATTATTATTATTTCAAATATTTACCGAGATAATCCAATCGAGATCAATTCCCTATACTATTTATAGAAACGTATACATTTTACTGCAGTCAATATGTCCAATTAGTGTTTTCGATACCTGGTAATGCATCAAATCCTAGGTATACAAATTTTGGTATTTTTAAAACATCATTTAAGGGTCAATGTCCTTTGGGTACCTTCTTGATTAACCTGGCATACAACAAATCCCCTGTTTGGCTCATATAAATATAAAATGAGGTTTTGCCAATATAATATTATTATACTAAAAAGTATAATAATACTAATATTAATGACGTTGAAGATATTTTATATAAAATAATAATAATAATCACCATCATCATAATTATAACAATTAGTTAATAATATTAATAATACACAAACATTATAATACTAATACTAATAATGTTAATGGTATTTCATGGTAAATATTTGGAAATAATAATAATGAAACATATAAATATTATAATTATATAATAATATCATAATAATAATGGTTATATAATAATTTTAATTTCATTTGATTAGTTTTAACATAATATTATATAAAAATAATGATAGTATGTGTTATGACTATAATATAATAATATTGATGTTATTTTACGATAAATATTAGGAATAATAATAATAATAATTATAATAAAAATATTAATATTAATAAAGGCAACAAAAATAAAAATTGTGGTAAATATTAAATATAAAACATTCTACCTATAGAATAATATCATTATTATGAGGAGGGAGAAAGAAAAGGGCATGAAGCATGCATCCTAATGCAAAAGCTAGCTTTTTCAAAACCTTGCATTTGCTCATTCCAAGTTGTTTTTGAATGAGCAAATGCTAGGTATAAGTAGTTTTGAAGATGTGGATATCCGGGATATGATCTTGAAAACTACACCAAAACAACCTTAAGCCATCTAAACGTGGATATACAAAACCTAGATTTGCATATCCTAGTGTCCCAAACGACCCAAACCGGTTGGAGTTTCATTACATACTCAGCACGAATGACCTCAACATAGTTGGCTTCTTCGAGACCGACTTTTCCCCTTCTGACTAAGATGAATTGCTAGTAGAGAGCACATGCATCTTGTCAAGGTTAGGCCTGGCAATATGGATTACTAAACCTGGTAGATCGTCCATTTTTTAAAATTTCAAGTGTTTTTAGATTTGTTCAATCCATATCATTTTTGGAGCTTTAAATTTCATGCATACGAATAAAATTTCAGCCATTATAGGAGTTTCTAGCATGGGTTTGAAGGTGTATTGTTTCTTTGATTGTTTAAAGTTCACAACTTTATGTAGACTGCACCCTTCGCATGTTGGCAAAGATGAGTTAATATGTTTGTACTGAATTCTATTAATTTTTTTTATCAAAATGCCTATAAAAGATGAACTATTTAAAATTTGACGATCGCAAATATTCCAACTCATCATCATGTATTTTTTTAATGAATTTTTGAAATTAAATCAAAAGATATAGAGGAGATGTTAAATAGTTCAATCTCTCATGAATATTTAAATAAATCTCCAGTTGATTACCCAAGGTTGCAAATATAGAGAGGATGCTAAATAGTTAATTACTTTGAAAGTCATTCTCAAGGCTTATTATCAAATCTTTTGTGGTCATACAACGAAATGCTGAAATCCTCATTCTCACTGTGCTATGGTTTTAATCGCCAAAGTAGTTCAAAAGACACTCCCAGCATATTATGATAAGATGATTTAGGCATGACTTTGAGATACATGGAGTTGAGAGATAGAGACCCAGGACAGGCTCATTGAGTGGTCCTATGAAAAGGTCCATAGAGTGAGTGGGTGGGTTTTTCTCAACTGTATTGGTTCTGGATCTCTTCGACTCTGAACCATTTGAGTTGAATCTGGACTGGTGGGAACTGGATGTGTTATCCTGACACTTGATATTTTCTTCGGTATTGCGTATCGACTGTGTTGACACTCTCTTGACGCTTCAAATTTTATTAACTGTTCAATTGGAATTAGAAATCTGATATTTCATGCAAAAATTGAATAAATGGATTGAAAATAAAGTCCAAAATCAATAGACATGATATTTCTATTAAGTAGATAAATCTATGAAGTTAAATAAAAACAAGTGGAAAATAAAAATTAAATAAAACAATCACGTGGAACCAGGATCCATTTTTAGTATTGTGTCAACACTTCTTCTAAAAGTGTCCGATGGAATAACACACTTTTATATCATATAAAACTCTTCAAATCTCGTTTGGTAAATTTGCCCAGCGTTCTCTTCCATGTCTATGGTCCGAAGCAGCTTACATTTTCCTTTGGTCCAGTCTTTGACAATTTAGATTTTTCCTTGATCCCTTGAATAAAAATTGCCACCACAACGACTCCACCAATGTATTATCTTCTTCAAAAGAGAACGCTACAAAAAAAAAATTCATGATAGATTTAACAAAGTTTTATGTTAGCTGCTTACCTAACACAATCTTCATCCTTTACCTGAACATGAGACACGTTAAAGAAAAATTTAAAGTCATCATCCTTCTTAAACCAGAGAAGGTGGTATAACACAATCTTTATCCTTTACCTGGACATGAGACACCTTAAAGAAAAATTTAAAGTCATCATCCTTCTTAAACCAGAGCAGGTTCGAACACAGGCTCTTAAAATTTAGAGCCTACCTCAACCGACCGATCTGCAACTTAAGTGCATACATATCAATATAGGAAATTATATCATATATTCCGTTATCTTACTCATTGGTTTGTTCTACCACTTGCTAAGCACCTAAACACGTACTAAATACCGACACTTGTGTCGATGGCCATGTAACACTAAGGGCTACACCATGTAACATGGGGGTGGCCTGAGTGCCCTTCGTAATAGGATATGGAGAGCTAATCATTTTAATTGCAAAAGAAAAAAAAGAAAAACTTATTTATCGAAACTATCAAATTTGACTAGTTTATAACTGTGTTTTAAGGAGTCCTTCAAATGAAATAAATCAAATTATTAACCTATGGACCTCTTGGAATGGTTCCAAAAAATTTCACCTAGCTTCATTCTTCAGGCTGGTTTTGAGACTTTTGACCCAGTGAACTTCTCCACAAATTACGCGCTAAGCAATGCTTAGGACCAAAGAAAAAAATCATTTAATTGATTATATAAAGGGAACTGGTTTGATAGGGCTGCAGCTCTATCAAAACAAGTATAGCCTGGTTTCATAACTCATCAAAAATTGCAATTCAAGCATTAGAAAACCTTTACATCAATCATCTTGGCTTGAACATTATGGTTGTGAAAACAAATAGGATTTCAATAAAAAATTACAATTCAAGCACTAGAAAGCCTTTGCATCTTGGCTTGAACATTGTGGTTGTGAAAAAAAATAGGATTTTAAGCTCTAAATATAGTGTATGTTGTAACAAATTATCTAGATCGTCCATTTTACCCTAAAAATAAGTGTTTATAGATCTGCAAGATATGTAGTATTTTTTGAGTTTCAAATTTCATTATCGGTATTGAAAATTGATTTTAGAGCCATTATGGAGATTTCCATTGCCGACAGTGCTTTCCGGACAAGGATTTGAGGTGAGGGTTTATTTTGTTTTCGTAAAGCCTAGGCCTTATAGGAACTTCATCCTTAAGCACAAGAGACCCATTCATAAGATTTGTCAATTTCAAAACAATCAAATGCAGGCGGTTCAAAACCTTTGTTTTCTCCTTCATTTATTCCAAGTGCAAGCATGGCTTTTATGCTTGTAATTTATATACTAAGTTTGCTTTGTCCGGCCAATTATCATATAATACTCAAGACATAACCTACATATGATAACCTCATGGGTAACTACCCTTTTGCCATTAAGAGAACCAGACATGGTGCCCAAGAAGCTCCTCCACAGTTGCATCATAGGAGTCTTTCTCCTCCTTTCCTCAACCACAGGTAAGCTACCATTAAATCCCAACCCCATTAATGGTTTTTAGCCATTTGTCTATGTAACTAATACTGAAACATGGAGAAATATTGCACTAACTCACATGCTAGATACTGAAAAATGGAGTAATATTGCACCAACCCGCATGATTGATAATCAAATGAGCATTGTTGCTTGATGCCATGGAGCTCTTTGCTTCAGGCATTGAGTTTTGAGCTTGTAGGATTGCTCACCACAGAGAGAGAGAGAGAGAGAGAGAGCTCTATTACTAGTACTAGAAAGGGTGTTCCCCAGGGAAGCTCTCTCTCTCTCAAACACACACACAGGCATTGAGTTTTGAGCTTGTTGCCCATGCTCGAGAGAGAGAGCTCTAGTGCAGGACTAGAAACAGTGACCCTTAAGTGTGTTGTGTATATGTGTGTGTGCGCGCATGTTTAAATTACTGATTGAGCCCTGGTGAGATGGAACTCTAAGTGTTACATTGTGGCATCTGCTACCTCTACCCCTAGTCTGCTGTGTGCACGCGCGTTCGGGTGTAAAATATCGAGTTGAGTCCTGGTGAGATGGAACTCTAGGCATCACTTTGTGGCATCTGCTACCCTAACTACCTCTGCCTAGAGCTCTCTCTCTCTCTCTCTCTCTCTCACTTCTTCTTTGTATTATCTCAGATGGGAAGGTGATGATGGAGTACGTAGGAGCCACAGGAGTTGAGGTGAGCTTCACAGATGTACCTATCAACCCCAACATCGACTTCCACTTCCTCCTCAGTTTCGCAATTGATGCCAACACAGATGGCGAATATCAGAACGGTGTCTTCTCCCCCTACTGGGAACCCTCCCTTACTCCGGACTCAGTGGCTTCCATAAAGAAACAATACCCCAATGTCAAGGCCCTCACCAGCCTTTGTGGCTGGAGCCTTGACAATTCTATCCTTAGATGGTAATGAAAGTCTGCAAGAAAAGTGTTCTTTCACTAAGAGAAAGCATAGTAGAATCCTCATGCACATGAAAAATCCATAGTCATGAGTCACCATGACGAAATTAATGATTGGAGAGTGATGGAGAGGGAGTGGATCCAAACATTGGAGTAATGTAATGCTCTAGTGGGTCCCAATCTCAGTCCATAACCATCCAGGATAGATTAGATGGTGATGACTCTCATGACCATGGATTCTCATTGTTATTTTTACCATATATTATTTTTGGTCATGGGTTTATAGTCTCACTGAGCGTATAGCCTATAATAGAGCAGAATGACGGATCACGATTCGTATAGCCAACCCCAATTAATTGAAAAAAAATTATGATGATGATGATGACGACGATGATGATTATCTTTGATCAATAAAATAGCTCATGGAATCAGAAAGTCAAGAAACAAGCAAGATAAATCCCTCAAATAATGAATAGATAGACTATTTTACTTCTTTAATGCTAACGAGTAAAATGAACGTTCTGCTTTTGATCCAAAAAAGGCTTTTTTCCTTTTGGGGAAGTAACCAAACACAACCGTTATATATGCATCCATTGTCTATTCCTAATGATGGATGGCAGTAATTGATTCTAGTTCTTAAGACGATATTCGTTCGGGTACATTTGACCTCGACCTCTAGTGTCGTGGAAATATGGTGGACGATGATCCATCTGCCAAATACCATATCCACGCCGTGCATGGAATACTTTTCCTCTTCTTTTTTATAATAATTTCATCTACTAGACATAAACTGTAAGATACTATACCACAATTCTCTAACCTATAACAGGTACAACCCCAAAGATCCTGAAGCTTGGATCGAGAATGCTGTTGATTCGCTCTCTTCCATCATTAAAACCTACCACCTTGATGGAATTGACATAGACTATGAAAACTTCCCCAATAATGACACCACCTTTGCCTACTGCATAGGAGAGGTAATCACCAAGCTAAAAAACCAGTGTGTTATAACGGTGGCCTCCATTGCTCCTTACTATAAGACTGTCTCGCACTATATAGACCTATTCAGCAGGTATAGTGGGGTCATAGACTATGTAAACCATCAGTTCTACACAGATAGGGTGAAGACACCTCCTGGTTTTCTGCAGGCCTTTCAGTTGAGAGCTGGTCAGTTTGATAGAGAGAAGTTGCTTCCCAGTTATGAGGTAAATGGGAGAGGGATTCAAGGGGATAGCTTCTTCTCATCTCTCGAGTTGTTGCAAAATAATGGGTTTACTGTAAATGGCGTAATGATATGGTCAGGTGACGATTCGAAAAGTGATGGGTATTACTATGAGACGAAGTCTCAAGAGTTCTTGCTCAACTCCACCAGAATCTGATTATGATTTAAAGAGTTGGCCGATGATGATTTATAAGAGTTAGCCGGAATTAAAGAGATTTGTATAATATCATATCACATTGGTTTGTTCAAATTGGAATAACAGATTTGACTAAAGATCAGAGATTCTCTCTCTCTCTCTCTCTCTCTCTGCGCCCCGAGGGGGCGGGTTTGGTTTACACACAACTGCGTACAGCCACACAACACAAGCATGCATACTGAAACAAACACCAATAAGAACACTAAACACTACAATAAAAAGGTGGAAAGACCATTTTTAAGAAGCCCAGGGGGTTTTTTAAATAATAAGACCATAAAAGAAAAATAAATGGATTTATGACCCTGTTTTGGATTTGTGCAATGTTAGAATTACCAAAACTGAGACCAAAAATTAAATAGTTGGTAGCCGAATTTCAGTGCTTTAAAGTTCAAGCTTGGTGCACAAAAGGGAGACAATTTATCGAGCCAGACCTCTATTTCATTGATTGTACATAATATATATATTCATGTGATGAGTTTCTTTGGTCCCATTGCTATTAGACCATGTAAATCATTATCCTCTCAAGCAATTGTGCATCAACCACACTGGGCTTCATTTTCTCTTAGTAAGAAACTAGTTTCCCACATCCCTAGCATTTAGGCATATCATGAGATCCCTACTGGGACCGACACAAGTGGCCTTGGGTTTGCACCTAAATCATTTGAACCAAGAAATGGTTATGGTCTTTAGCTTTAGAAGTAATAAAATGTGATTAATAATTGGAAAAAAAATAAAAACGAAAAGAATTCATACTGATTTGACTTTCATATTATCAATCGATGGGAGTCCAGACTCCAGAGATATCAACAATTGATGTATAATGTTCTCCATCCACTCAGTTACATTAGCATCAAACTACGGTGAAATTACCCCATGGGGATTGCAAATACTCCGTCGCAAGCAAAGGATGAAAGCATTTTTGTAACAGGTTAATTGCGCAAATGAACCCTAATCACGTGGGTTATGATGATTTACTCACTCATTGGTAATAATATTCATGCAAATATTACACCAAGAAAAAATGCCTATTCTGGCAACCTTGTCAAAAAAAAAAAAAAAGGCATGAAGAAGCGAACTGATACACAAAGATCATCAGTTAGTTATCAACACCAATAAAGTTCGCACCCTGACCACATAAAATCAATTCAATTGGCCTATAAACATACGATGTCAAACAAGGAAGACTTCGGAAGAAAGAAAAAGAAAAAAACTTCAGTCACTAGCATACTCATCATCATCTTCCTCATGTTGTGCAATAACCTTCTCTATAAAACCCTTGCGGACTCGTTCTATCACATTTTCCTTTGAAGAGTCCTTGCCACTTTGTGAATCATTAAGCACAGGATCCGATTGGCATAAAGTCAATGCCACAGCTGAAAGATGTGGATGACCATGAAGAGATTTAGTCCAGTGACATAAATATTATGAAAAACATAGCATAATTAATATATAGGAAAATTGTTTCATGCGGGCTGGACCGCTTTTCTACAATATGCAGTCCCAAGGTATAAAGCATCCATCTTAAGATGGATGCAAATAGGTGGTCCATCTAAAAACAATTGAAACTATCGGTCCTAATGTTTTCTGAATTATTATTTTTAATTTTAAAATTTATTTATTTTTCATATTCATGATCTCCATGTTAGAGATTACATGTACTAAAAAATTAAGTAAAAAATCCATCTCAAAAATAGATTTTTAAAAAGCTTCAAGAATGATGAAAGCATGATTCAAAATTTTGCAGTTGGAAGACCCACAGCTGGGAGATAGACTAAAAGAGTTATGTTAGGGTGCTCACACTATAAAGCATTTTATAATTATACTCAACAAATTTTGGACATTTATATACCATTGTTTTATAATGCAATATTTTTAGTAAGGGTATTTTTTATCATTAGGAGGGATGTAAAATCATCTATATGGGGCGTGACACCATCCACATGGAGCATTAAATATCCCTAGTGTGCTCTATGTTGTTGATGTCACACCCTATGTGGACGATGTCACAGCCTTCCTAATGACCAAAAATACCCATACTAAAAGAATGCTCTATGTACAAAACAAAAGTATATAAGTATCCAAAATTTATTGAGTACCATTATAAAATGCTCTATAATGCAAGCACCCTAACATAACCCTTGCACATTTCAGTACTGCATACAAAACTGAGATCATTTGACTCAGAAGATAAATACTACATAGAATGTTAACCAAATCTAACATAGAACAAAGTAATATGTAGAACAGCAATCAACAAGAACAGTGAAGACAGAAATTTTCTGTAGGTGCTAATCGATTTATGTCAGACATGTAAAAGTATAAAATGTCAGAAGAATGTTTCAGCATCATATCATGAATCTCACTGGGTCCCTTAAAATTATTTCCAGCATCAAATCCAGATTGAGCAAAGCTCGCTAAACAAGGCAAGGATTAAGTCAATAGCTGCTCCTATTGATATATATATTCTGCACATGAAGATTAGTCGGATCCAGGTAATACAATATGAATCACCATCTCTTCAACCACTTTCACATTATACCTCCTCCGGCTCCTCCTTCCCTATATTTTCTATCAGCCCTCTTTCTGGGTAGGTCCTAACCTTAGCTACAACTGCTTAATTGTCCACACTGGTTCTCTGAACATGAACAAGGAAAAAGAAGAAGAAATAACTTCTCTGTTAATACGCAAAGCTAACATTTAATATTGAAAAGTTCGAAAGAATTACACCATTCTAAGACCTCTGGCAATGATTCTGGATGAACTTTACCATATAAATAATTCTGAGTAGAGGTCTAATAGCCTTGGTTCCAATAAGTTTTTCACTTTCTTGCTCTAAGTTCCCTCTGCATTTCCTTTTTCTTTTCTCATTAATTTGTTTATCCTTTCTTTTCTTTCATTAGTGTTATCAATACTCATAGATATACAAAATGCATAATGTCATTGTTACCTATCAGATTAATTGCTTCCATTGTTCAGCTCTCATAAAACTATTCAGGACTTTAACACCCCTTAAAAGTTACAATGTACTAAACAAAGAATTACACAACTCAAGTCACATTTGACATGCCCAAAAGTTGGAAATACCCATAACTGTTATAGAAAAGTAGATAAGAATTACAAATTTGAAAAAACTACACAAGCCCAAAAAAGAAAAAATAATCATATTATGAACTGATATAAGACCTATTGATTTCAGATGGACTCCAACATGGAAGTGGCCAGAAAGAGATAAACAAGCACATGAAAACATAAAGTAAAGAAGGAAATCACCTTCTGGTGTGCACCTATGGGAACCAAAATGATGCAGACCCACATAGTTTGCCTTGACATTGCTGTTATTGTACACCAATAGAGTTGGAAGATTACGATCGGGATAGTTTGGAATGCAGTCTGTAGATATTATTTTAACAAATTTTGTTGCTGGATATTTTGTGGCTAGTTCTTCCAAGCAGCGTAAAAGAATGACACACTCTGGTATTCTGCATGCAAAAAAAATGACACTAATCAAAGATCCGCAGATATTGCATGGCAGATGATAGCAATGGTAGCAAATTAGACAACCCGATTAAGAAACAGCCCCTAGAAAACACTACATAAATTTCAGGTCGAGGAAAAAAAAAAAAAATACATCCCACAAATTAGGAAGCTAATTACAACAACTCATGAGTAATATTTTTAAGGTTGCACTGATGTTCATTAAATAGCATAATTGCATTGTAATTTTATTCAGTGTGGCCTTATGCATAGGTGACACGAAAACACTATTTCAAATATGCACATAAATGCACCACATTGACTCACAAGGAAAACTAACATACATTTGTCTATCTCCAAATCCTGCAATTATAAATGACTAAAATGTCATCTTAGAGAAAAATGTTGCCAATAGATCTTAAACACCTATGCAAGGGGATATCTTGTTTATATTTAAATTTTGTTGTGGAAACCTCATTTATCTCTTTTGCTAATTTTTGTCTATGCCTACCAGTAAATTCCGTTCATTCATTTTGTAGTTTGGACAAACCACAATGCTCCTCCAATAGGCCACAAAAAGCGGTTTGAGGCTGATATTTCCTAGAAAGAAGAGACATTTCATCCAGAGGTCTATCCTAAATAAATTTTTATTACACAAATTGTCTAATCCAATACAACTTTCTCTTGCAAAGACAAATCTCTCTTCCACCAAGGTAGTCAAATGAAAAGCAAAGCAGAAAAGCTTTCATATTAAGGCACAGCGAAGCATGAAAGAGAAGCATAGAAATAAGAAACTTTTTGGTAAACAAACTTTAGATTTCTCAGCTAATACACTTAATGACCATTTCCCATAAAATAGGATAAACTTAGTAAAGCATTACGCTTGTGTTGCCATTTGAAATAGTATAGGGCCTATAAGCAGTGATTTAAAATCCGGCCTGGCCTACCAAACCAGTATCCCAGTGAACCATGCGAGACAGTTCTCTAAGGAAATTTTATATAGAAACAAATACTAATAACAAAGAAACAAAACTATGGGAACTGGTGGTAACCAAGGGGTCTTTAGACCCGGACCAATACCCACCGATTCCGAGTTACAGGTTTTTCAAACACCAAGAGTAGGAATCTCAAATTATCATATTCACAGACATCAACAAAATTGTTATAAATTAAAGACCCAAGATACTCCCATATCTACTATGAAAATGAAAACAAACAATTTCTTCAAGGAAAATATTATAATCAACTCAAAAAGATTTATGATTGGAAATTTGTATACCCAAAACCCCACAAACATCCTACATAGGAGTGATCGTTTCGAACCTATCAGAATTTTGAATTCTGATAATAACTGCAACTTGAAACATCAGCTCAAAAATGAACTGCCTTTTCTATATCCTTTTTCTCCCCATGTCACAAGATGCCATACCTCACATGCACCTAATCCACACTTTTAAATGATAGGATAACTTCTGAGTAACAATTGCAAAATTGAGAAGATCATGAGATCTTTGACGCACATCTAGTTCACAGTTTAGTAGTACATCTTACACTATCCATCATGTATAAGATACTTCATGAGGCATACGAACTTCATGCCTACGCTCCTCCAAATCATTTAAAACATTTAGAGTCAAGGAGCATACAAGCAAACAGAAAGGAAGATGGGGGCCGGCGTTGTTAAGTTCCTCATGTATGATATCCATTCAATATTATCGAAATAAAGAATAATGATCCACACACCTCTGTACAAGTTACCTCCCTCTAAAGCCCCATCCAGATGGTTTAACACCTTCTCTAGTTTGCAAGCCATCCCTACTCTTTATTGTGCCAGAATCAACCCAATCACTATGAATGCCCTTTCCAAAGAGCTCCTTTCTCTAAAGGTCATGTGACAAGGGAAAAATGCTTCTTCTATCTTACAAAGGGGAAAGTGGCTCATATCTTGTTTAGGCTTCCAAAAAAACCAATCTAAGATCATGGATGTTATTTGCCTCTTCCACTTTTAATAGATTATAGATAAATGTAGTACCATTTCCTGAATAGTCTTCGACAATGATATACCCCCGAAGATATGTTTGGTTAAATCCAATTTTCTACCAGGCAATATCATGAAGTGGACATGGTTACCTCTTTGTCATGCTCTAGGAATGAATTAAAATATACTAACATCCTATTTTATCTTCAAAGTGATCACTCTCAAGTTACGTATCCAATAAACTTCCATCCTTCATTATAAATCCTTCCTTTCCACCCTGTCTCATCTTCTGGTTGGGACATCATCTCCTCTTCAGCATGTAATCCAGCAGTCTCTTCCAGTATTCAAGTATTCCATTCTCCTAGAGCTCCCAAGTACCTCTTCGTATTTTTTATGGGAGAAAACATAAAGAGATATTTGGAGAGATATTTGGAGATTTATATGTTTCATTTCATTGCTTTTTAAGCAACAAGAGAGACTTATCAGACCTAGTAGCTAACTTCAAGTTTTATTATTTTTTGTGTCTTTAGAATTATAGCAATGATTAAGTATAGATTAAGGATCAAGTGGCTAAATATAAACAGAAGCAGCATATAAAAATCGAAACAAGGAAATTTCTTCCCTGACACTCAACAACTTTCACATGCCAAGCCCGATCAATTTACTTCCCTTAAAATGTCCTAATTTCTCACAAAGAAGAAATGAAGGAATCGAGTATATAGCATTGGTAACATGCCTCAAACATGAAAACAACAATTTACTTAACAATTTGAATATATTCAGCTTATAATAAAAAAATAGCGAACACTATTGCAATGACACAATAAAGTGAGCCATACCAAGAGGTGAAAAATACATAAAAGATGATTGCATACCCTTCTTTGTAAAGGAGCACCAGTACCCAGATATCTGGCGGAGCTTGCGAGACCTCCCGCACAAACTCTGGCCCCACAATTGGAATTACTGAACCAAACCGTGGCTTTCTTGCACTCTCCATCATCTCAGCAAGCCTTTTCTTTCTGAAAATTTCAGAGATATAGCAAAATAAAAAGGTATTTATGACGAACCCACCAAAATTCAAAATTGCAACTCAAGCATTCCAATAAGCATGTTACGCAGACCGAATTCCCAAACGAGGCAATGAGTAATTCATGAAGTTCAAAGAAGACATTTTCCAGTGTCAGAATAACTAGAATTCCTTCAAAATGAAAAACAGAGCAGCAGAAAAATAGAACAGTAAAAGAGCCAATTTTATGAGGAAGCTCTCCCAAAGTATTCCGGCACTCAATATACAGAACTTCCACAGAAAATGGAGAGAGAGAGAGAGAGATGTCAGCACAAATCCATGATTTGGGAAGAAGCTCTGTAAATTTGAACGAAAACCCACAAATCCTTCCAGAAAAAACGAGGAAAGAAACAAAATAGAAAGAAACCAAGTAAGAGAGAGGAACCTGTATTCTTCGAGGAATCGATCGTCATCGAGATCTCGATCATCTTCCAAGTCCTCCAACTCCTCTTGGGTCTTCGAATCAATCCAATCTCTGTTTTTAGGTTTGAGTCCATCGTCTTCTTCAGCAGGGGTCCATGCCGGAGGCTTGAAAGGTGCAGGCTTTGGTGGCAGGTTCCCAAGCTTCCTCTGTATATCATCCCACTGCGTGCTCGTCCCCTCCACGTCCTTGTATACAAAGTGATAGTCACCCATTCTCCCTCTCTCACTACAATTGCCCAACTCTCTCTCTCTCTCTCTCTCTCTCTCTGTAGAATGCGCTCTCCCAGATTAGTTTTCTTGCTTTTCCTTTCTGCAGCACTTTCTCTCTCTACATATGTTGAGAGAAAGAGCACGAGCTTTTGCCCTTGCCAACATCTTTGCCTCCGTGAAGATGCGAGAACGTATACTATAACCCATAGTCTCATCACCGTTTATTTGAATAAAATATGGTGATGTACAAAGGCATGTCTTGTTTTGTTCCAGTCGCTGCCATAGCTCCTCTCTCTTTCCACACCGATTCACGGTGATGACCTAAGGAACGTGCTAATAATCTCCCCCTTCGCTCTATCGCTCTCTCTCTCTCAATTTTTATGCAATCACCTTTGCTATAAAGACCGGCTGCAATTTCATTTAGCCTGATCACATTTCGTTTGGAGAATTGATGGCTAATATAAAGTATTCTATTTTTATGTATTTTTATAAAAAAATTTTATAGAGCACAATGACAAATCTCAAATAATGATGATGATGTAATTTTTTTATTTTTTATAAATTTATTTTTCACTTGAATTTTCAAAAGAAATTTACCTAAAAGGAAAACTTTATATAGAGCCGATGCCCTAAACAATCAAATTAGAGCCTACCTACAAATTTCACTGGAAAAGGTTATTTTGATGCTCAAATATCCTCAAATTGATCATCTCGACATCAAGATTCATAGACATGAGAAAAAAATAGATTTCAAGTTTTGGAAATTTGTAACGCATTTTTGGACCGTCAATTTTCAAGATTTTCAAGTTTTCATAGATTTGTCGATCTACACTAGTTTTTAAGCTTTAAACTTTATAAATAAAGATGAAAATATATTTTAAGGCCATCCCAAAGATTTCTACTATTGAAACCACATTTCTCGACACTATTTGCAAGTAGGCTCTAATTGGACTGTTTAGAGCTTAGACTATATATAAACCGCACGTTTATCTAAATACCTATTAGAGGAATATTTAACATTCTATCCATATTAGTGATTTAATTCAAAATACTATCAAAATCCACATATGATAATGTGTTGAAATAGTTGCAAATAGGTAAAATATTAAAAGAAAAGTATAGAATGAGACCATTTACCTTTGATACAAAGTAGTCACACCATAAATTGGGTGGATGTAATTATTCTCTTACAACCAAACTCAAACTTCAAAAGAAATTTTCTCTAAATTTCACATCAAATGGTTATAAGAAATTGTGACCACGTTATATAAATTTGCCATTTTCCAATTATCTATAAAATTTTCCGATTTAGGTATATAGCTAAAGACCAATTGGCGTAAAGTTTGAATTCTTCTCTAGGATTCATTTTACACCAACTCACTAACAAAATTTGAAAGCTAATAGAATTTGAAAGCATTTTGTTAGCAAGAAGCATTAAAGAAACTGACTTTCAAAGTTGAGTTATCAAAAAATGAGAATCTACAGCTTCCATCGCACCCAATGACTGAGTTTTTCTTAATTGGCATTATGCCAACAACATAACGAATTTGGTTTTGATCTAAAAACTAGTGTTGATTTGGTTGGAAGGCCCCCATGAGACTAGGTCATCCACATAATATTGGATTATATGAGATTGTCAGAGACCATTTATCTTTTGGCAAAGTCACAACTATTCGCGCGCATTAAATGTCATATTAGTGGCTTGGGGTGAGTCACCAAGGTCGATAAATTTTTATTTTAAGACTCTGTATGCATTCAATGACACTCTTACAACCACCCATTTTGAAATTAAATTGACAAGAATGATAATACTGTACAAAATATTTAAAATATCTTTTTAGAGAATCCCCGATCATATGTGGTTGGAGATATTACTTCATTCCAGTAATAAACAAGAAAAAAACATGATTATTTGGTGGAGCTTGCTGCAGTTGTGAATGCAATAATGGTTTCAACCACAGGGAAACTGGCAGGAATGGCCAAAAAAAATCAGAAGCCAATCAACTCTTTCCGATAATTATGGCTTGAGAATTTTAGGTAACAATGCACATTGTTTCTGATCGGTTTTTCAAGGACAAAATAAATAAATAGAGATTGATTCACTTCATTTGAGAAAACAAGTAATAAACAAGGTTATTGGGGCACAACACATTAGTAGAAAATCAGGTTGCAAAAGTATCATTAATGACATATTAGACAAATTTAATCAATGAATAACTATCGTCCTGTCCAACTGCAAAGTGAGTTGTCCAATATCAACTTAAAAGAGTCAATCAACTACAACAACCAATCTCACTCCAATCGGAAAAACATAAATACAACATTTGAGTTATTGCAGCACCATAAACAATGTTAAAATTAATGAATAAATGTGTGCATACATATCACATTTACATTTGATCTTAATTATGATTATGAAAGGTGGGGCTGTCACCTGGTGTGATGGTAAAAAGCTCGGGTGTCAGCGCAAAAGCACTGGTTCGAGTCCTAAGAGCAGCCACTATATGCATAAACCAAAGGTCATGACCGTTTCCAGCCTATCCCTCCCGAAAACCTGCTTAAGCGGAACCTACACCGGGTTACAGCCCTTTATGATCATGAAAGGGAAATTTATAAGAAATATCCAGAGTATCATTAAAAGCTAAATAATTTAATTTTGAACTGTTGGGATGAGAAAATCCACAAATTTGTCACCATAACTTCGTGCTTAGAAACCAAAATTTGTTCTGACAAAAAATTGTCCTGACTTGCACATGCATATCGATTGCGAGAACCGTAGAGTGAAATGATACAGCTCAAGACTGCTGCAGATCATCAACTTGGAACAGTAAAGACAACCAAATGTGGAATCGGAAAAATCCTAAATTGTGGCAGTTGTTCTCGCATGAATCACATACGAAAGCAGATCGACGTATTCTTATATGCACTAACTTGACGTGGGTATTCTAAATCCACAACCCACCTTAGAAACCACATATCACTACCGATTTGTAAATAGTCACACTACAATGCACAACCTCCAGACAAAAAGCGCCTTTGAGAACAGGTTATCAGCTAGATGGATTAATGAATTATTCAAATTACTAAAAAAGTCGTGGAAAACACTACCATGGAACACGTGCTTCCAATTAATACAGATCGTCAATGTTACAAATGAATTTCATTGCAACACAAAACTTTGTCTACAAAAAGATAAGGACAGTCAATTTTCCGTCAAACATTTTCCATGGATGACAATACAGTGACCTTTTTTTGTTACTTTCATCTACAACATGTACAATGCCAGGAGAATGACAAATAGTAGGAACTAAATTCCACAATTCTCGTTATACTGAGGTGTATTTTTCTTGGTAATTTCCTTAACCAGAGCATCATCACTGGCCATGGACGTGTCGTCATCGTCTTCATTATCATCATAACCATCATCATCAGTATTTGGGGAGTATTGCTCATCACTATCAGAAACCTCATCGCATTCATAAGTCACAGCCTTCTTTTGTCTCTTCCCCCTACCAAGACCTTCACTACGTAAATCATCAATGGGATGTCCAATAATCTCTTCCCACTCATTAGCTTTTGGGGGCAAATTCATTTGTTCATTCTGCCCTGTTGGCCCAAAGCTCTCAGGCATGATGCTGCCAAGATATCCATTATCATCCACTCCACATTTCTCATCAGCCAACGGATTCATGCCGAGGAGGGTGGCTATTGCTTCTTCATCATAAGTGATAGATGTTGACCCCAAGCTTTGCTTACTAAGAATTTTCCGAGCTCCATGTAGCAGTATTGTATGTAGCTCTTTCACATTTAACTTGGGGTTGCGATTCATTACTAGATTCTCAATCACCAACTTCATCTTTGCTCTCTCCAATATTTTCTCCTCAACAGAGCCTAAAGTTATCAGTTGGTAAACTACAACAGGTCTCACTTGCCCGATCCTATGAGCTCTCGATTGTGCTTGCAAATCAACAAAGGGGTTGAAATCTGGATCTACAGAAATATACAACAAAAGAGGTTCAGAACAGAATCTATAGAATTTACCAAAATAAATGATTAATAAGTATCGAGATGTATCTGAAGAGAAAATCTCATGAGAACATTTACCGTATATGATGACCCTATTTGCGGCTGGCTGTTAAACAGAGAGTACCAATTAGTTGATTCAAGCAAGTAGAAGCAATGATCTCTCCCTCTCTCTCTCC